CACACACACACACACACACACACACACACACACACACACACACACACACACACACCATGCTTCAGAATGAGCCGGAAGCATCTCTAACCATGTTTTCCTTGTTATAGCTGAGCATTTTAATTATATCCAGGCTCGTGCCAACAACCTTAAAAAGCTGTGATCAAACACAAAATGTGCTTCGAGCTGAAACCCAACCTCAGCCTGATGAACACACACATATACACACACAGGGTACGCTAAAATATGGGTTATTTTAGTTCATCTTGAAGAATTACAACATTTTTTTGTCACTGRGACAAGAAAAACAAGTAAAGGATAATTAGGCTTATTAAAGTTCATCTTTTGGACAATTTGTTGCTGCTTTCATTGAGAAATGAGAACTGGTATTTGTCGTCCCGCACTGTTCTTTGCTAATGTTTCCATTAAATACAAAATAAATATGAAATGAATGATTCTGCATTACCTGAGTAATTTGATCTTTTTAGCAGAATGATGTAAAGTACAGAAGAACATTTGAAAAGCAAAACAAGTTACCGAATAGGATTTTTGTTAACTCTTTTAAAATGTATTTTCTTCACCGAAAGAAGTTCCTGGTTGTGACTGATGAATCTGCTCTGCTTACAGAAAAAAAGCCAAGCTGAAGCTGTAAGTTTTTTTAAACAAATCAGTCTCTTACAGAATTTTTCATTTGATTTTGAAGTTGTTGGCATTTTGCTGTWATAAGTGATGAGTAAACTGTAGATTTATGGTTCTTCTCTTGCTCTTAGTTTTAATAAGTTGATCCCCAAAGTGGGCCAAAGTACTAATTAAAAATAGACGATTGTACTGAAGATAAACCTGACAAAAGAGAAGCTAAAATTGCGATAAAATGTCAAACTTACTGTGAAAATTATTCATGTAGAGAGAAATTTAAGCATGAACTAATYTCGGGCTTCGTTTTTAAGCACCTGCTGGCCAATAAAAGTACTGCARGTTAAATCACGTCTATGTTGGCTTTACTTTTCAAACCTGGAGGCTAAAACTGTAATGTATACATTTTAAGTAAATAATATATTTTGTATTTTTAAGGAGAGTTTCAGACTGAACCATAAATGAAGCCATTATCTATAGCGTCACAAGAAAAGCATAAACACATCGCTGTCTACAAATGGTACCAGATTTCTTTTCTCAAAGAGTTAAGTAGCAATAAGACAAACACGCTTTCACATGTACTTCTGGAAAATAACAGTTTGCTGAGGCTACAACTCAAACCAGCTCGTGACTGACCACCAGCAAGGTTCAACAGGATGCCAAACTCATTATGTGTGTCCTCGACATGCCCCAGACAGTCATGGACTATCATCCATTTAAAAATGAAAGCAGGTGGTCTACGGGAAGACACTCACAGGCGATGTGATGGATGCTTAAAGGAATCCCAAAATGGGGAGTGGGTGGTAYTAACACCAGCGTGACACAGGGGAGAGAGTGGGGAAGCTGAGACCGAAGAGAAGTGGAGGGATGTCAGGTGGACATCATGAGACTGAGGCATGTTCCACTTCAGCTCCTGAACTTCTCACCCACACAATAAYGAGCCGTGTTGCCACAACCATGTGAGCAGAGAGGAAAACAAACTGTACTCTCCGTTTTTCCTCCCTCCGTCCCCCTTTCCCCTGCTGCTGCACTGACAGACATTATGTTAATGTGGGCCTCTGAAAAAAAAAGGCAGAGATAAGCAGCTGGAAAGTTGACATGGAAAGGACACCACAACTGCATTCAACA